GACTAGATTAGATTAGATTAGATCAGATTAGATTCAATTAGATTAAATTCGATTAGACTAGATTAGATTAGATTAGATTAGATTAGATTAGATAATATTATATTAGATTAGATTAGATAGAACTGGATAGAACTAGTACAGGGGATATTAATTCCAAAACTAACACTTGGCCCATTTCTAACTTAATGGAAATAGAAATGGGCCAAATTTGCAAAGTTATCTTTTTCAAAAGTTTAATTCTTAATTCTTAATTCCAAGTCGAGTAGAACAAAATTACACCATATATTTATAAAAAAAAATAGTTAAAACTATATATTGAAACAATAAAAGTCAATGTTAAACTAATAATAAGGTGTGAGAAGTAGTTTTTGATGATTCTTGATTTCATTTCCATAGCCCTATTTTAAAACTATTACCGGATTTCAGCTCATGTCGCGTTTTCGGAACATATCCTGGTTTTGAGACAATTACCGGAATTCATATCAATGTCAATTTTCAAGTATTTACGCACTTACGTAACAAAACAAGATGTTTTGATAAGGTAAAATATAGAAAATAAAAATAAACTGTTCTTTTATAATTTAAAAATCATTACAGCATTTAGAAATTAAAATATTAATATCATTTGTTCTTACAAAATAGATTTAACTAGAAATGCGGGAAACTGTTTGTATAAAATGCTTGAAAATAAATCGTCAATGTTCTCTAATTTAACAAATAAAACGTGGAAACTTAGATTCTAGAAATAATTCTGAAGTTAATTTGGTCTTCAAAAGATAATTTTTGTTTTCAGTGATTTATTTTGTAAGTTATGAAAGTGAGTTTTGTTTTGAATTGAGGATTATATTTAAAAACGGGAAACGCAACAATGTTTCAAATTCAGGATATGTTCGAAAATGGAAAACCTGACATCATCCTGAAAACAGTCAAAAGATGTATTAAAAAAAGAACTCCTATTATAATTTTGATTAAAAAAAAGTTTAAAATTGGGATTTGTTGTCCTCGTCATTTTTAATAAAATGTTGGTTAAAGTTTTATTTATTGACATTTATTCTGGATATGGGCCGGGATTTCAAAAACCCAGTTTTTCAATTTGGGCCCATTTCTAACACTCAGTGTTAGAAATGGGCCAAGTGTTAGTTTTGGAACTAATGTCCCCTGTAGTATGCTCTGGTTGTGTACTAGAATAGAGTAAAGTTTGAACTGGATAGTACTAGTATTTCTCTGGTTTCAGAGAAATAAATTTAGAGTATAGAAAATAGAAGAAGATTACAAATACAAAGAGATATACTTGGTTTTCATAATTTTGAGAGGTAATATTGGTGGTTAGCACAAACTTGAATCATTTACAGGGAACGGTTTTTTTATTATTAAGAAGAATAATTAAGCCAAATTTGTTAACCAAAAAAATTTATCAAAACAACTTTTTCAATTCTTTGAAACATTTTTGATAATTTTTGCATAATGTAATATTAGCTCTTTTATCAAGCATAATACTTTGAAAAATAAAACATCTCAGACTATTTTGGAACATCTAAAACACAATAAACATTTATTGCTTAAAAAAACATCAAAACGACCCCCCATTCCTATCAATGGGTATCTTAATTTCCACTTTTTTTAAAATGAGTTTCTTTTTCTTTCACAACCTCCATCTGTTTTTTATTCTCTTGGAACAATTTCTAACTACTTGCATACTCCAAGTAAATACAGAGAAACGATACAGAGAAAGCCGCTAACGTCTGCATTTGGCAGAACAAGAAGAAAAATTTTGTTTACTCACTCTTTAAACCTTGTACTTTTCAACCTCTTAACCTCAACTTTAAACTTTTTTTTTGGTAAAAAATAACGATTTTTCCAATTTTTTGAATTATATATTCTCGACTGATTTCAGACTTCGGTCATATTTGAGAAGGAACTAAACAGAAAATTCCTTTCCGAACATTTTCCCAGATTTTTTCCGTCTCTTAGGATCCAGGACACACTAGCTTTCTTTTTTCTATGTTTCTAGCCGATAACTGACCCTCCCTTTCCCCTCCCCTCTCTACTCCTTTCTCCCTTCCTATCCCTACTTTCCCCCCTAATTTCTATCCTTCAAATTTAGAAGATGCGTCTTAATCAGAAAAATAGCCTGTTTTGTTTTAATAAATTAACAATATAGTAATATAATAAAATTAGTTTACGTTTTCCGTCGGAAATAGAGATTAGAGACCTCACAGGGGTTTCCGGGGCGTAGTGGAGAATTTTACCAATAAGAATGTAAACATGGATAATAATATATTATATAAGATTAAATAAAAATAACAAGCATGTATTAAGTTTTTTACATATATAATGGTACTAACTATAAAATAGTTGAACATGATAATAAAGTCATATAGAAAAAAAACATTTTAGATGATAAAAAACAACATTTCATTAATTTCAACTGTAGTATTGATTTTTTTGTCACATGCTTATTATCTAAAAAAATAAAACACTAGTTGAGGGTTTTACATAATGATAAAATAGCAAAGGCAATAAAATAAATAGCGAATTCGATGAAACAATATTTTTTTAAAAATTGCATTTAAAGTGACTTCATTTCAAGTGATTTTCTATTTGCAGAGTACCCTATCCAATTCACATTTGTACCTTTTAAACCTATGAAATTTCACCAATGCCATAGATATCCTTTATTATTGTTATAACTAGAAATTGATTGCTGGAAACCTACATCAAGGTTATAATGTAAGGAAAGTTAAATGCAGTTACGTATACTCTGCGTACATACTAAAACCAGTTCTCTCTGGGCGGAATTTGTAAACAAGAATAGATGCCTCAGTGTTCGTTTAGTATCCGAGGAGGTTAAAAGCATCAAATTTTGATAATTTTGATAATTCACATAATAGTTTCCTATGACCAGAAT